TGGGTCATGACTGACGAAGTATCTCGCATTTTATATGAGATGTATTCACCCTATTTTGTTTAAGGCGGCCATTTCCAAACTGAGCGCCACGGCCTTTTTACAGGGACGACGCGAAATATTATAAAAGCTTCAATTTGAGAAAATATGCAGTGATTTGCAGTCTCATCCATCACATTAATTATTAAATATTAATTCAATGTAAAAAAAAAATGATGAAGATACACGAATTCTATTTATTTGTATCTCTTACTTACGAATGGTCATACTTAGAGTAGGGCGCCATGGAAAACTTTCAATTGAAAAAGGCGCCGCGACTAGGAAAAGTTTGGAAACCACTGGTTTAAGGTGATTTACTGGTAGTCTCTAAACTCTACTTATATACGAAAAATATCTCGCATTTTGCCATTTCTAGCAGCAGCAAAGAGTGTATGCGTCGAAAGAGGTCTCGAAGTGAAGCTAATCGACTCTTCAACATGTGACAAACGGAGTAACGCTGGTTATGTTTGGATAGTTCTTCCTACTCAAAATGAAGTCGATGAAGAAGACGCTGGCGCCCTCATATGGTTGGGTGCTACATTAGGGCACCTTCTGGTGACATTTCCCCCGTACAGGACAGGCCACGTGCCGGCACCTGCACAAACAAGTGGAAGCCTGGTCATATTGTCAAGCGCCAGGTCATAAAAGACGTACGGATAGGGCAGGAGAGACTGTGTATGGCGATCAAAAATGTCGATTTTTCTTTATGATTGTTTTCAAGATGCGTGATTTCCTCCGATCTTCATTCCTACTCCATTTTCTTGCATTGTGGCACGATTCAGTTTCCTTGAGCCCAGTCTGTCCGTCCCGGTGGTTTATGCAAATGGAATACCGAGGTACTTTTTCATGATAAGCCGCAAAAAAGGCATTTGATCGTGATTAAATTGTGCGTAAAAATCCGGTTAGTGAACCATTTTTTGTAAAGTAGAAGATATCATTTTAGAGTTGGTTCGACCTTGATTTGCAACTTGATCGGAGCGTCAAGGAAACCTTGTTGAACGTAACTAGTCCCGTGTCCTCTGCCATAGTATTCGCGATTTCCAGCATTGGACCATTGACTTGGTACATTCCCAAACGTTTTGCCGGCACCATCAGTGAGAGGCGCCATCCTAAGCACAGAGTTACAACTAATCAACATGAAAGTGAAGACAATCCTTCAGACTGAATTTCTGTTCATCCGTAGTGACATCACTCCTCATCCCTATTTCTCTCAGCTCCACTTCATATCGCCCATCCACACATTCACACAATTATGTGCTCTTGTCTCCTCGAAGGTCGTCTAAGAGTGTGTGGCTACAAGTGGGTTTAGTGGAGCGTAATCGTCTCCACCACCGGTACCAGATGCCGTTTACATGGCTCCTGACCCACATTCTGTACACCCTTTTTTCCATGCTCGCTTGTCAATTGGTCGCTGATAAGCATCAAACTCACCTGGGGTGGGGCCACACCATCTTGGTCTTCATATAATCAAAATCATTGTTTAGCTGCCTGAAATCTAGCTACGAAGAGAGACTGGGTTTCGATTAATCTCCTGAGATAACATTGTTGTACAACAATGATATGACAACGAGATTCATCTGTTCTCATCTGGTGAGATCGACCAACGAATCTCTTCTTCATGCACTTGCATACGAAATGAAAGTCCCCCCAACAATGAAATTTAGGTGCCTAGGCGCCTTCAATTTCCGTCCCTGATTACGTCATATTCGAGGATTCAGAGCAGATGATGCCTATGTCCATAGCCATGCCGGTGTCTGGGAATCTTTCTATTTATAAGCTTCAAACCCATGACTCGATTATCCTTTTCCTCATCCCCATCCACATTGTGTGACATTCTTTGGGGCGCTGTGTCCGGATAAAGTCATAACCGCTGGTGTGAAAATGCATCGCCTCCCTCTTTTTCCTTGAATCGCGAAAAGCACACTCCTCTCGTTCTTCAAGTTGATACTCCCATCTAATCATAGGGCACTACGATGTACATGTGTTTATTGACTGGTATCCCCGTAGTCAAACATGTCACCAGTCACCTTCCCTTCAAGCACAGACACGAAAAATGCACAAAGGCACCACGCACACACGCTCGTAACCTATATTTAGCCCATCTATACTTTTCGTCTTTAATTTCATATCCTACGCCTCACAGATAGACCCCCTGGGTACATTTTTGGCCAATTCCCGATTTGACTGCTCTCATTGCAGTCACCTTTTGTTGAATTCCCTTTGTCCCTTATGATCCGCTCCTTGATGATGTCTCTTCCTGTTGTTGAACAGGTGTCCTGGGTCCAAGTGTCTTCCTTTTGATGTCTTCGCTGAATCCTCAAGTCTGCTCAGGCAGTACGCGAAATTATCGCTGACACTTCTCACTTCCAATCTCCTATTCATCAGGTTTCTTTGAAAGAAGATGTCCACAGCCTCTATGATCTTCCGTTTCCTGGTGTATTCCTCATATGAGACTCGTCTTTCCGTAACACTCGGGTCAGTTGTGTGACCAGTAAAGGGGATCTGGTCAGCTATTTCCGATCCTTCTGTATCCATTTTTCCGCATCGTCTCTGGTGTTCGTTGATCCTTGTGCTGAATGTCCTTTCCATCTCTTCAGTGTAGTTTTGATTGCAGTCCTTGCAGTTTATGCTGTAAACTCCGGAGCACTCCATTTTGTTGACTTGTTCATGTTGCGTGTGCAAAATGATGGAGAAGATAGTCATTTCCATCAGGATTGTACGAATGTTCCATTTACCTTGCATCGGCCAGATCTTCCGAGCCAATTCGGAGGAGGGTGGACATATCCATCGTTTTTCCTCTGCTCCTCTTGAGCTCCTTCCATAATCACCGTCCTTCCATCTGTTCATTACCATGCGTATGTTGCGTCGTATTGCTTCTTCTGGATGTCCGTCTCCAAGATACTCCTGAGTTAGTTTTCCCAGCTCCTCTTCTCATAACTCAGAATCACTGAGTCGTAGGTTTCTTATGACCATACTCCGAAGTATTCCACTCTTCATCTCATAAGGCTGGTTCGACTGGAAGTTAAGAATTTTTCAGCCTGCTATTTCTTTCAGAAAAGTCTTTGCTTGAAATGTACACTTACCTTTCTAAGAAATGTAGGTGTCCGTTCTCTTCCACATCCATAGTGAATTTGATTTTTTCATCCATTTCGTTTATGAAGATCTAATTTTTCTTTTCCATGCTGCCAAATTGCGAAGTAGTCATCCAATTATGGCATAATTACTGTTGGCTGCTGGGATGACATTTTGAAATTCTCCTCCAACTTGTCCATGAATACATTGGCCAACAGATGTGAGAGTGGTTAGCTCATAGGAAGACTAAATATTTGCAGCCGTTGAACGTGAAATAGGTCGGTCTTATTGTTAGGCTGATTCATCGGGTTAGGGGCTCTCTACGCATTCGCTCTGTCTCCAAGATGTCATTCTCTTCTCCCAAGATCTCCAATTGTGCGGTGAGTGCTTTTTCTCCTGTGATGTTAGTGTACATGAATTGTGCCTCTAAGCTCATCAAATTTTCGTTTCCCTCCAAACTGGCACCTTTGATTCTTTGGCTAAATTTGTATGAGTTCTTCACTGTATTCGATAATCTGTCATTCATTTTCTTTAATTTGAGGCAGATAAATTTCGCCAATTTATGTGTCGGTCCATGTTTGCTGTTGATTATCAGTCTCAATGGTTCTCCTTCTTTGTATGGCTTCTGCGAACCGTATACTACTGGGGCTCTTGCATCCTTTCGTATGAAGGAGTTCATCCTCAATTTGTCCATTTGTCGATTTCCCCTTCATGTTCATTTCCTTCACCATTTTTTCAGTGCTCCTTTGCTTTTAACTGTTAGATCTTCTACCAGAGGTCGACAAGTTGTAATGTCCCCGATAATATTTTATATTTTTTCTGTATATTCCTTCCTGTCCATCACCACTGTGGCACCTCCTTTGCCGGCTTGTGGGACTATTTGATCGTTTCTTTTTAATTCTCTACTCATCTTGGTTTTATTGCACCTGTGTGGGTTTTTGATGCGTCAAGATTGTTGGGATGATTTCCAATTCAATGTCTCTTTTTTTCAGGTAGCATTTCAGAGGTATATATTGTTGCCACTTGACTGTCCTTGATTGCCTTCCTTTCATTCTGAAGGGCAAAATT